ATCAGCCCAGAGCTCGACGCGGGGCTCGAACTCCGGGACCGCGAGATGGTGACCTGGCTGAAGTCAGACGCTTAACCGACTGTGCCACCTAGGTGCCCCCTGATTTTTTATTTATTTTTTTATTTTTTTAATTTTTTTTTCAACGTTTATTTATTTTTGGGACAGAGAGAGAGAGACAGAGCATGAACGGGGGAGGGGCAGAGAGAGAGGGAGACACAGAATCGGAAACAGGCTCCAGGCTCTGAGCCATCAGCCCAGAGCCCGACGCGGGGCTCGAACTCCGGGACCGCGAGATCGTGACCCGGCTGAAGTCGGACGCTTCACCGACTGCGCCACCCAGGCGCCCCTGGAGAAGGTTTTAAATGGGGACTGCTTTCGTCTTCTTCCCCAGGTTAACTTGCCCCGTCCCCCACCCTTGACAGCACAACAGCTGAGACCCTTCAGAGCCTAGAGGAGACCGGAGACCTGACTGTGAATGGCCGAAACTCCTCTGCGCACCCCTCCTTCCTCCCCCTCCCCCCCACCCCTCCACTGGGAGTGAGTCGTTTAGTAAAAATTGGGTTATAGCCTGATCTGTCCCGACACGTCTTCCAAGGGGTAGGTGGATAGATGACATCCGGTGTGCGTGAGAATGAGCTGCCGAGCACCGAATCGGCGGCTGGCAAGTCCAGAGTGCAGTGCCTGTGTGGGTGACTCACGCGGGCCCAGCAGCAGGTGTGCTGGGGCTGCTAAGCGTGCAGCCCCGGCAGAGACCGTGTTTTCTGGTTATCCGGGCACACGTAAAGGTTGCTCTTGCCTCCGACTGGATGTAGGGAATTGTCAACCGGTCTGGGGCTTACGAAGTGATCCCCTTTTCTCTCGGGGACTGCTTTCTCCTGCCAGGGGTGAGGAGAGCCAGCCCGAAGGGGTTTGGGAAGCAGCTGACGCGGGTGCGGGCTGGCTGGCCCTCGTGTGTCTTTGCAGAAGAGAACATCTGAGTTCACAGCTGAGGAAGCCCAAGAAACAGGCCCTGCTCCTGCCCCTACAGCAGAGACCACGTTAGCCTGAATCTTCTGCCAACAGTGTGTACTCAAATTAGGGCTGTCCCTTCCAGCTTGGGGTGGCTGCCCGCACACAGCGTAGGTGCTGTTTATTGGGAGAAGGACGTTCTGAGTTGCTTGGATCTCAACACAGCAGACTTCAGTTGTCCAGGTGGAGTTTCTGTGTTGCCCTTAGGGTATGGTCGCCTAGAGTGGGTTTTTCTTTTCCTCTTTGAAGCGCTTCTGGCCTTCCTTTTCTATCTCGCAAGCTGGAAGAGACCCCTCCTCTCCCTCTCCCCGTCTCCCATCCTGCACCGGCCCAGACGCTTTCCATAACCGGGCAGCTCCAGCAAGGAGCATAACAGGAAGTCTTGGTGGGAGAGGGGTTGGGGATGTTGTGACTAACCAGCTCTGG